TTCTCACTACCTCCCATGCCTCGTGGCCTTTTCAATTTGCTTGTAAAATCCTTTTTGTTTTTATAATTTTGAGGTATATTTTATATACTGGGAAATGCACAGGTATTAAGTGCACAGTTTCACAGTTTTGACATGACCTCTACAACCAAATCAAGACACTGAATGTTCCCAGGGGCGGGCACATGCGCAGTGCTTAAGATGCAGGTTGGGACACTCACATCCCACACTGCAGTGCCTGGGTTTGAGTCCTCGCTCTGCTCCCCAGTTCCAGCTCCAGGTTAATGCAGGCCCCGGGAGGTGGCAGGAGACGGCTCAAGTGCTTGGGTCCCTGCCACCCACAGGGGAGGCCTGCACTGAGTTTCCAGCTCCTGGTTTGAGCCTAGCCTAGCCCCAGCTGTTGTACACATTTGGGGATTCAATCAGCAGACAGGAGCTCTCTGCTTGTCTCTGTCTCTCCAAAAAAAAGACTCAGAACAAAGTTCCTGGATACCCCTCAAGTCAACTCCACCTCCAAGCTTTCTCTGTTCTAATTTCTATCACCTTAGATGAGCTTAACCTGCTTGGATCAGATAAATGGAGTCATCTTGTATATATGAAAGTTTGTATGAAAAAGTTAGTGGAAATGGAATTAGAAGATAAGTTCATTCTGGTGCAAAAAAAAATCTTAAAATCCATATACATGGGGGTTTTCAAAGTTCATGAAAAATATGCATTATGAAAAAATTAGGCAAGGATTTCAGAGTTTTATTGCACTAAGATAAACATCTTTTAATTTCATTTTTTCCACAAACTTTTAAAAAATATTTTATTTATTTGAAAGGCAGAGACAGACACAGAGAGATAGAGAAAGAGAAAGAGAAAGAGAGAGAGAATCTTCCATCTGCTGGTTCACTTGCCAAATGGCCACAATGGCTGGGGCTGGGCCAGGCAGAAGCCAGGAGCCTCTTCCAGGTCTTCCATGTAGGCGCAGGGGCCCAAGCACTCGGGCCATCCTCTTATGCTTTCCAGACACATTAGCAGGGAGCTGGATGGGAAGTGGAGCTCTGGCGTAGTGGGTAAAGCTGCTGCCTGTAGCACCAGCATCCCACAGACTTTCTGAAGTCCCCTTGTAGAAACTCTTTCATCTTCTCTCTCTCGACCGCAGTGTCTGTAGGACTCATCCGTGTTGCAGCAGTTGGCTCCTTTTTTTATAAATTAGTGTTGTGCTATCCAATCAATGTTTAAAATCCAGCCCTATTACTGCTCACTTGAACTTGGAATTCTTTCCACTCACATGTCCTGCATGCTTCCTTGCCACGCAGCCGTCTCTTGCATATCTCCTCGGTCACGCGTGTAGTGAGAAGAATATGTAAGTGGACTACTTTCTCTCCGGCACTCCTTGCAGGGGTGGCTCAACATGAGTCCAGCACGCGGGTCATGAGTGCTGGCTTCAGGGTAGACTCGGGTTCTCGGTTCCGGTCTAGCACTTAACAGATGGGGGTTGGGGGCAGGTGATTGAACCTCTCTGAGACTCTTCCCATTTGTAAAATGAGGATAATAATACCTCCCCAATGGGGATTCTGAGGACTAAATTATATTGTACATACAATGTTTGGCACAATGGAAACCAGTAATAGCCTCAAGCTAGGCTATAATAAACATCCTCCTGCTTCAGTCCCATACTTTCAGTTTTCATAGGTCATAGGAATGGGTTTGTATTTTCAAGTTTTTAAAGGAAGAGTTCAAGTTTAGATCTAGAAAAGCATGTCAGAAGTTACTTAAACAACTAACTGCTATTTCCTAAGGAAAAAAGTAAAGCCTTTTATCATCTATTTGCCAACAATTACACACATATCCTGAGAGTGCCATGAGAGGCTCCTCACAAGAATGAAAAGACATGGGACCGGCGCTGTGGCGTAACGGGTAGAGCCTCCACCTGCAGGCAGGGCATCCCACATGCGCGCCGGTTCAAGTCCCGGCTGCTCCACTGCTCTCTGTTGGGGCCCGGCTCCTGGCCTCCGGATCAGCAAAGCTCCGGCTGTTGCGGCCATCTAAGGAGTGAACCAGCCCATGGAAGACTTCTCTCTGCAACTCTGCCTTTCAAATAAATAAATCTTAAAAAAAAAAAAAAATGAAAAGACATCAGCCCCAGCTCTCAGGATGTTTGGTTTGGAGAGGACAATAAGCACAAAAATAATCATTATACAAGTATGGTCAGTAATAATAATTAACATCTATTAATGCAGTGGTTAAGAGAATGGGCTCTGGAGTTCCATTAAATAAGTTCGAATTCTAACTGTTTGATGTTGGAAAAGTGACTTAACTTCTTTGTTACTTCACCTGTAAAATGGGGAATAGAATCCCACTTATCCAGCAGGGCTACAGTATCAGCACACAAAACTTAGGCAATAGCCAGCGCCATGGCTCACTAGGCTAATCCTCTGCATTGCGGCACCGGCACACCGGGTTCTAGTCCCGGTCGGGGCACCGGATTCTGTCCCGGTTGCCCCTCTTCCAGGCCAGCTCTCTGCTGTGGCCAGGGAATGCAGTGGAGGATGGCCCAAGTACTTGGGCCCTGCACCCCATGGGAGACCAGGATAAGTACCTGGCTTCTGCCATCGGATCAGCGCGGTGCACCGGCCGCAGCGCGCCGGCCGCAGCGGCCATTGGAGGGTGAACCAACGGCAAAAAGGAAGACCTTTCTCTCTGTCTCTCTCTCTCACTGTCCACTCTGCCTGTCAAAAAAAAATTAAAAAAAAACTTAGGCAATAATTAAAAGCTAATATTTATTGAATACTCAGTGTGTGCCAAGCATCATGTTAAATGCTTATGTGCAATACTTCACATAATCTCCATGAAGCTATTACTGTTCCTATACCAATTTTATTAATAAGACAACTGAAGGGCAAGGAGTTCTTGCCCAAGGTTATATAGTCAATAAATAAGTAAAGAGCGAATACCATTGTAAAGACACAATCATCTATAAAATGGGCATGATGAGAATTATTTATTTGGAAGGCAGAGTTATAGAGAGGGGTGAGGGGGAGACAGAGGTCTTACATCCCTGGTTCACTCCCCAAATGGCCACAACAGCCAGGGCTGGGCCAGGCTGAAGCCAGGAGTCCAGAGCTTCTTCTGGGCCTCCCATGTGGATGCAGGGAGCCAAACACTTGGGCCATCACCTGCTGCTTTCCCAGGTGCATTACTGTCGCTCCCCCTCTTCATGGAGGAACGACACTAAACCCTGCCTAGGCTTCATATCCGAGTCACGGCGCCATTATGTCGCTCCCCCTCTTCATGGAGGAACGACACTAAACCCTGCCTAGGTTTCCTATCCGAGTCACGGCACCATTATGTCGCTCCCCCTCTTCGCAGAGGAACGACACAGGACCCTGTGCTGTTCTTTCGTCTGCTCGGCCCTCCCCGGGTTTGCTGCTGGTTCTTCCCGGGTTGGCTACTGACCCTTCCACCTCCGTGGAAGGGCGGTTCCCCCTGCCACTTTCCCCACTTCCGCGGGGGAGCAGCACACCGCCGGCTGGCTCTCTCGGGGGCTGCTCAGGTGTTCCTTCAGATAGATGTTCCTGGTGCATGTTGTCTCTCTCCTCCTTTATAGTCCTCTTCCACCAATCCCAACTCTGCTACCCACACGCCGAGTACGCTGCTCTCCTCCAATCAGGAGCAGGTCCTGCTGTTTATTGGTTGAACTGGAGGCAGCTGTGTAGAAGCTGTTTCCTCCTCTCCCAGCGCCATACTGTGGGAGAGCAGATGCATAGAATAAGTCTTAATTCGAGTAACTTAGTCTAGTCCGAGTTGCTCCCCACACATTACCAGGGAGCTAGACTGGAAGTGGAGCAGCTGGGTCTTGAACTAGCACCCATGGGGTGCTGGAGTCTCTGGTGGAGGCTTAATCTATAAGCCACAATGCTGGCCCTGAGAATAGTATTTATTTTAACAATCAAATTCATATTTGAAAAGTGCTTAGAACAGAGCCTAGCACCTACTAAGACCTATACTCATATATGTGGACGTTAAATAAATGCAAACTACTGCTGTGGTGTTGTTTCTGAGACGAAAGTAGATACTTCCCATGCATGGTGACTAAGGATGGCTTTGGAAAGATGATGTTTAAGCTAGATCCTGAATAGTGGATAGCACCTGGAAAGATGGAGGTGATGGGGAGGGTATTTCAGACAGATGGAATGAAGGTGAGGCAAGAGGAGGAAGAAGGCTCTGAGTATGTACAAAGAAAGTATGGGGGTACTTAAATTTAACTAAGGCAAAAACCCCCCTTCCTCCAGCCAATCACTGCTCCTGCCAGCTGTATCTCTTCTCATTTTCCTCTCAACTCTGTGAAATTCGCTGTCCTGACCCTCTCATCACAATCATCTATTGAACAGTATTTATCAAGTGCCTGTATTTGCCAGGCGCGGTTGGTGGATACACCCCAGTGAACCAGCTAGCTCTTAGTTCTTATTCTGTCCTATAATAATCTTCCAAACTGGATTCCCAGCTTTTGTCCAGCTCCACTCTAATCCATCCTCTACACCACCACGAGAGAAACTGGCCAGGACACTCATTTGCTTAAATGCTGCCGACAGGGGCCGGTGCCGAGGCTCACTTGGTTAATCCTCCACCTGCGGCGCCGCCATCCCATATGGGCGCCAGTTCTAGTCCCGGCTGCTCCTCTTCCAGTCCAGCTCTCTGCTGTGGCCCAGGAGGGCAGTGGAGGATGGCCCAAGTGCTTGGACCCCTGCACCCGCGTGGGAGACCAGGAAGAAGAAGCTGGCTCCTGGCTTCGGATTGGAGCAGCACAGGCCGTAGTGGCCATTTGGGGGGTGAACCAACGGAAGGAAGACCTTTCTCTCTGTCTCTCTCTCACTGTCTATAACTCTACCTGTCAAATAAAAAAATAAATGTTTTTTTCCCCACTCTGTCCAGAATACATTTCAATTTTCTTAGCATCCTGCTGGAGGCCATGCAGCCTTATCTCCCAGCCTTCCCTGCCCACCCCCCTCCCCTGTCACGTCACACACTCTGAACTTAAGCCACGACAAAGCACTCAAAATTGGAGATTACGCTCATCAATAAGCACTCGCTGAATGAACAGGGCTTGAACTCCACCCCTACTCCATCTCTTGCACAATGAAATAGTCCCCACGAAAAGCCCTGGCTTCCTCCCTCCTCCTCGCCCCGCTGTCCGAGCTTGAATGCAGCACGGGGACCCCACTGCGCCCAAGGTCCCTTCCACCCCCAGAAGCCAGCGCAGAACCCCAACCCAAGAGCTGGAAGAGGAAGAGCTTCGCGCACCACCGGGACTGCCATCTTGGCTGCGGCGGCCGGAAGTGCCCGGGCGCGCGGGCGTAAGTGAGGCTGCGCGGTGGCGGCGGCGGCGGCGGCGGCGCTGCAGGTATCGGGCGTCTGGTGTGCCGCAGGAGCGGTTCCGAGCTCCGAGCGGTGCCGCCCAGCAGCCACGCAGCGCCCTGTGCGGTAGCTCCTAGTCCTCCTCCCGCCGCCCCAGCCGCCGTCCCACCCCTCCGCCGGAGTTTGCGCTGCGGCTCGCACACGCCTCGACTCGGGTACGCGCTGTGCACCTGCCTGCCCGAAAACATGAAGCATAGACCCGAGGGCGGGGGTCTTCCGACGCCTCTCAGGCCGAGGTGGGGCAGGACGGCGGCTGTGACGGTGCGACCCAGGCCCTGACGGCGTGGCGGGAGGCAGCCCCGAGCCGCCTCCTGCAGGAGAGTCCCGGGGAGGACCTTGGTGCCGCGAGGGAGGAGGAGGGTGCGGAGCCCGCCGTCATCCGCAGAGGCGCCGGGGTCTTGACCGCCGAAGCCCCGGTGAGTCGGACGGTGGCTGAGTTGCTGCAGTTCCTGCTAGGGAAGGGCAGAAAGAGCCCCGTCACCCTCTCCGGGATGGTGAAATGCGTTACGGGAGACTTGAAGGAGCTGTTCCCACAGAGCGTGTCTGCGGGGTGTCTTTGGTTTGAGCTGAAGCGGCTACAGGCACCACTCTTAGATCCTGATCAGAAGCCTCGCACCTCTGCGGGGGGCCGGGGGGGGCGGAGGATGTGGGAGGAGATGGCCCCAGGTTGGTTCTCTTAGTGATGCTCTTGTCTTTATCTACCTGAAAGGTATTGCGCCAGGGAGGCCCAGGTCTGGGCGATGCTGCGGCACTTGGGGGGTGTGTCCCTTAGGTACCCGAAGATTCGGGTTTATTACAGAAGATTTGTGCAGCAGCAGTACCTCACTCACAGGCAGGTGCCTCACTTCAATCCACCAGAGTATAAATTCTGTTGGGATCGCAGAAGCAACCCGGAAGTCATGAAGATGGAAGTCCTGGGGTTCGTGGCCAAGCTCCGTAAGGAAGAAAACCCCAGCACTGGCCAGTACAGTCCCGTGAGGCCCTCGCAGAGGAGGCCGACAGGGCCAGAGCAATGCTGATGTGGGGGCCGGCATGGTGGCAAGGTGGGCGGCAGGGGCCGAGGGCATGAAAGCTGTCTCTTGAATCCTAGAGTGTTAGGGGAGGCGTTATTTCTGTAGAAATTGTGGAACTTTAGGATTTAGGTTTTGTATCTTGTTAACCTTTTGTTACATGTAATAGACTTTTAAATTGCTGTTTATAGGTGAAGTCTGTCTACTTTTTCCTGTAAGCTCTTCTTGTAGAGTTTCCTGCAAAACTGGCTTTTTGAGAAAGTTTGTATTTTACTCTGTGACCTTGGACGGATTATGCAACATTGTAGTGCTGTGCTTTAATGACTTGAAGGAATGAAGCAATGTGATGATCTGGTACCGGGGGAAATAGCTGATGGTATCCAGTCTCTGAACACCTTTTGTCAGTTGTATGAAACAACATGGACGTGTACTTCTATTAGCCTAACTATTATAGTGACTAGAGGAAAAGTTCAATATGTTAGAAAGATATCCTGCTGCACTTAATAAATTCAAAGTATTGAGCATCTTGTTTTTTTCTGTTGCGTTGTTTGGGGCATTTGGAGGTGGAATGCGGTACAAGAGGAAGTTCCAACACTGGAGAGTATGTCAACACGCCAGAAATTACAGCACAGTGAGGGGCACAAAGGGGCACCTAGCCCAGCTGGAGCATGAGGCGTGCTTGAGGTTGGTTAGACTTCGGGGGTGGGGGGGGCAAAGATAGGACAGGTAGAGGGGAGGGAAAGGCACATAGAAAGAAGGGAGTAAGGAATCTGTTATGGGATGATGGGGATGGTGTTAGAAAATACTTAAGATTGGGGCCAGCATTGTAGCGTGGTGGGTTAAGCCACTCTCAGTGGCACTGGCATCTGATATGGGCACCAATTCGAGTCCCTGCAGCTCCACTTCTAGCTCCTTGCTAATGTGATTGGGAAAGCAGGGGAAGATGGCCCAAGTGCTTGGGCCCCTGCACCCACTGGGAGACCTGGATGAAGCTCCTGGCTCCTGACTTCATCCTGGCCCAGCCCTGGCCATTGTGCCATTTGTGGAATGAACCAGTGGATGGAAGACACCTCTTTCTGTAACTCTGCCTTTCAAATAAATAAATCTTTAACAAATAACTTAAAATCACAGATTTTCCTCAACATGGGAAGAAAACTAGATGAATCGCAGATTTGGAAAACCCCCGTGTTTGTCAGTGTCCTTGTCTCAGAATAAATACAATAGTGGTGGCTGCTGGCACCTGTGCGCTCTGCATCTCCCTTCTCTCAGCCTCTCCGAAGTCTGCAGAAAGCAACTAGTGTAACATTTCTGGAACTCTGCACCCCATGTGTGGAGGGTAGGCATGGTTCCTTCTGCCACCAGAAATTCCACTTCAAGGTCTCCCCCAATGCCATGAGATCCATGGCCCTCTTCCATGTTTCTGCCTGTTGCTTTCCACTTTCCACTTCCGGTTTGCAGGAGACCTGTGAGGTGCCCTGCACATGCTCAGCACCCCTGAGGATTCTCCTTCCAGCCCTTCTGTCCTTGCTCGCCTGCCCCTTCACACGGGGGTGGGGGGGTCCTATAAAAGGGGTTTATAGGATAACAGAACTTGGATGGTCTCCAATCCAGAGATGGGTGTGGGGAGATTGGGAAAGTCTCCCTCCAGCTGCTAGAAGAAGTATTTTGTTTTCTCTTCACTGCCAGTTATTTTCTGCTTCCAGTTGTGTCCAAATAACGCTTCTGAGTATGTTCCGGTTGGCATGCGATGCAGACTGCTTTGGGACCAAGTGCTGGGATCCATCAAATCAGCTGAACCAAAAGCTATCAGTGTCTGCACAGAATTTACTAGTGATTAAAGATATGACGACTGAGTAGTTTATAATTCATTAAACATGCAGAAATGTTTAGTTCCCAGTCTGTGCCAGCCACTTTGCAGAGTGTCAAAGTTATTACGATAGGAAGACTGGCATTGCCCTGGAGGGTCAGTAACAATCCTTCCCCACATTTCTGTTTTCTTACAGTGGCCATGGTGTGCACAGCTGAGGGCCAGATTACTTGATTTGCCTAAGGGTACGTGGTAGGTCAACGTACCAAGACCAGACCCGCGTGTCTTGGCCAGCCCCCTCCCCTGCAAGGGTGTCTTTCCAGCACGCTGTTTCCCATTCCTGGCTTGCAGTGTGTGCTGTGTGATCTTAGTTCCCACAATTCCAGGAAACAAGTGCAGGCTCTCTAATTCTCTCCAGTTGCCGCTGCAGTCCTTATGGGAGTGAGGAAGAGTAGAAATACTCCCTGCTTTACTGCTGACTGAGATGACTTTGCTCAAGGTTAAACATATGGTGCAAGGCCAGGGTCCGGCTAACACCAGTACCATTTGAAAAACACATCCTATAGGCTGAAGACATTTTCCCCCGACTTTTCACATCCACATTGCCAAGTTAGCATTACTAAATACATCCCTTCTACAGATACTAATGATAATAATATGTGCCATTTATTCAATACCTAAGATAAGCCAGTTTTTTTAATGCTTTACATATGTTTTAACGATGTTTATGGCACCAGCATTGTGGCAAAGTGGGTTAAGCCACCGCCCGTGATGTCTGCATCCCATATGAGCGCCGCTTCAATCCAGCCTTCTGCTAAGGCACCTGGGTAAGCAGCCGCAGAAGATGGCCTGAGAGCCTGGGTCCCTGCCACCCACTTGGGAGACCTGGATGGAGTTCCAAGCTCCTGGTTGTGGTCTGGTCCAGCCCAGGCCATTGTGGCTGTTTGAGGAGTAAACCAACAGATGGAATATCTCTCACTGTCTCTCTGGTTCTCCTCTCTCTAACTCTGCCTTTCAAAGAAATGTCTTTAAAAAACTGATTTTTATAATGGGTGCATGGGACAGATATCGTCTCCTCCATTTTGCACTCAGCCCGCAGACTCGGAGACGCTGTAAAGGTCCCACAGACAGTCTGTGACGGAAAGAGCGTCGGAGCTGAAGTCTGACAGTCAGAAGCCCGTGCTCCACTGTTTTACATTTCCTGCTCGGGACGCCTTCCAGACGTGGGTCATCTGTCTCCTGACTCATCTCATTTCTTCAGACACTGCTGTCTCTCTGGAGATATAAACAAGGGCTGAGCAGCCAAGGTAATTACAAGGTGCCGGCCTGCAGGAGGGTGACGACGGGGCTGAAGTGAAGAGGGGCACTCCTCCGGGAACACTGCTGCCTGCTTTGCCCAACTCCCCAGTGCCGCGCCGGGTGCTGGCTGCGCCCAGAGCGTGCCTTGTCCTCACCAACCGTGTGGTCTGCAGTCTGCCCTCTCCACTAAGCCTCACATTAGGCTTTCGTGCCAAGGAACAATCAAGTAACACGTGAAGACCTGTAAACGGGGTTCCCAGGGTTGTCTCCAGATGGCGCGAAGGCTTGGCAGAACTCACACGCCCGCGTCGGGAGCGAGACCTCCCGCGTGACGGGTGCCATCGCCAACCTCCCAGAAGTGCTGAGAGTGTGGCCTCTGGGTCCATGTGCGCAGCAGACACTGCCCATGGGCAGGGCAAGGGCTGGATCCTCCCTTGGCTTGTGGTCCTTCACACGAGGCAGAAGGAAAGACCAGCTGCCCCCAACCCCTTCCCATGCAGACGCAGACAGGACTGGGTCTTCTTGGGCCGCTCTGTGTGTGTCTGGGACAGGGAGGATGTGGTTAATGAAGTGACGGCTGATGAATGACTCCAAATCGTCCTTATTAGAGTGCAACTAGAAAGCGAAATTCCCTTGAAAACTATGAATCATGTCTTGGACAAGGGGAAGGTCCCAGTTCAGCCAGAGACTGCGGGAACCCTAACACTCACCGGAGTCGGGACTGCTGACCGAGTGGAACTTGGAGAATCGGATGTTTGGAAACAAACTCAGGTTGATTACAGCCCCAGCATCCAGCAGGCACACGCAGCTCGTTTGCGGCCCCTGCAAATCAGCCTCCATTCACAAGCTCAATCAGAGTTTCCACTGGAGGTAATTACGCGCCATGCCTTGGTCAGGGTGGCGATTGATACTCCTGCAAATGATTCAGTTGTGCAGCCCAGCAGAGATGACAGCAGTTACCTCCCAGCAGAAACATGGTGTACTGACCAAGGAGACGAAGCGGCCTGAAAAGTATCCTAATCAGGGCCTTTCAGAGTCATGATTACGTGACCTTGAACAAGGATTTCAATCTCAGCACGGAAGACCCAGGGAAGAGGTTAGTTGATGATCGGAGTAGGGGGTCAGCCACAGTCCACACCCCATGCCCGTCCTGCCTGCTGAGTTGACACTCTGCCCAGGTCCTGAGCCAGTCATGACCACTAACAGTAGCAGCCAGCATTTATTACGCCTGACGTGTCGGGAATGGTGCTAAGTGTGATAACCACACTGTCTCAAGCATCTGCACAGAAGGTTCAACACTGCCAACATTAGACAAGGGAAGAATGATTCGTTCCGTGCCCCAGTGACATGACTCAGCCAAGCTCATGACATCACCAGCAAGTGCTGATCCAGAACGAGAACCTAGAATTTCTGAGTTCTTGCGGGTGTGCCACTCTGCTGCTCCACAGAGGGCTCTTAGAGCTCAACCCATCTCCCTTTGGAAAAATGAGGCCAAGAGGGAAGGGAAAAAAATCCAACCTCTACTATCGCTCGTGTGTATTACAACCTAGAGCACCTGGGCTGGAGGGTGGAGGCAGCGTTGAGGGGTAGGAGACACCCTCGGGAGGCCTGCGGGGTATGGAGCGCTGGCAGGGACAGCCGACACAAGCCGTAAAGGTAGGGGAGGCCCTCTGGAACGGGGAGCTGCTGGCCGCCGGAGCAGACGGAGCTGCATTCCAGCGCATCCCACTCTCAGCCGTGGGAGAGCAATGCCGCTTCCGCTGAGTGAGCTAACCTCTCCGGGTTTTGGTTTTCTCACCTTTAAAACAGAAATGGGGCAGATGTTTGGCCTGGGGTTAAGATGCCTGTGTCCCATGTCAGATGCCTGGGCTGGACACCAGCTCCAGCTCCTGACTCCAGCTTCCCGATGGTGCAGACCCTGGGAGGCAGCAGAGATGAGTCAGGTAAGTGGGTTCCGCCACCCGTGTGGACACCTGCATTGAGTTCTTGTCGCCTGGCTTCAGTCTGACTGTGTCCTAGCCAGACTCTGTCCTAGCCATTGTGGGCATATTGGAAGTGAGCCAGCAGATGGGAACTCCCTCTCTGTCTCTCAAACAAATGGAAAAAAATTTTTAAAGAAATAAAATGGGAGTCTACACTGTGGTGTAGTGGGTAAAGCTGCCACCTGCAGTGCCAGCATCCCATATGAACCCTGGTTCAAGTCCTAGCTGCTCTGCTTCCAATCCAGCTCTCTGCTATGGCCTGGGAAAGCAGTGGAAGATGGCCCAAGTCTTTGGGCCCCTGCATTTTCTTGGGAGACCCAGAAGAAGCTCCTGGCTCCTGGCTTCAGATCAGCACAGCTATGGCCATTGCAGCCATCTGGGGAGTGAACTAGCAGATGGAAGACCTTTCTCTCTCTCTGCCTCTGCCTCTCTGTAA